CAAGTAGTCTGGCTGTTGGTTCTAAAGGCTGAGCTGTTTGACCCTCATACATTGAAAACAACGGAAGAGTCCAACATGCTTGGAAAAAAAGAGTATCCAAGATAGATAGATTGTTGCATGTGTATTTATATACATAAATATATAGACTTGAAGCATGTTGTAATGAGGAAAAGTATTGTTATTCTGTCAACTTCTATTATTGTTATCGCCATTCTAAGGCTGTATGCACAGGATTTTCAGAATATCTCTACTAATTCTAACACAGATTTTTCTCCATATATCAGTTACCAAATATACTAGCATACAGGCTAGTAATATAGTAGAAATACATCTCTTTTGGTATCATTATCGCTATTCTAAAGCTGTGAGCACAGGGTTTTCAAATTGTCTCTGGTAATTCTCACAAACTTTTCCCATACACCAGTTAACAAGAATATAAACATACAGATTAATATTAGAATTGAAAGACACTTTTTCTGTTTTAAGATGCTATTTTCTGTTTTAAACTAAACTATTAGTAGAAATTCAATACTAGTAACCTGCCTTTGAAGTTACCTCAGTTATACCAAATCTGTCCACTGATTAGCTATATATCAAAATGGAAATTTTATATTTTTTAAAGAAAAACAGAAAGGTGTTCTTTCTAATTAGGGAAAGACTCGCGAACGATACAAGGCTAACTGTTGTTCAGCATTAACTTCTTTCTTTCTTTTTTTCTCTTGATTCTCTTTCTCCCGTCTCTGAAAATGTTTTATCTGTCTGATTTTTGCATGTTGTGCTCTTTGCATCCTAGCGTTTGCCTCAGCTTCTTCACGTGCCAACTGATTGCGAACCTCTGCCCAATGACGCTGGCTTCGATCAAATTGCAGTTTCTAAACAAAAAAAGAATGATAAGAGCAAAAATTAACAATCTTTTTTAGCTTTATTTGAGAATAAGTCATCAACCCAAATCTTGGTAAAATAATCCTAGTATCAGAATACCAACAATAATGAACCAATATTTTGCAATAAACACATTTTATAAAACAGTTTAAACGCTTTCACTTTATAACTGAATTTAAGAGCAGTACTAGATTGGCAGGTAGGTCTCATCATTTTACAGTATAAATGGTTAGATGTAGCTGTAAGTTCTATGCTAACAGTTTCTTCTCTCATACTTCTTGCTTGCAGAACTCCTTTTTGGCTCTATCCTTTCCAGTCAACTTTGGCCTTCACAAGTTTAAATGTAATGTCAATCACTATCTACTGTCTTTCTGATTACTCTTCTTTTGTTCTTGTTCCTTAGTAACATTTCTGTTTACTAATACTTTTCTACCCAGTAACTCCTTTTGACTTTTGACAAGAATACATGGCCCAGTAGATAAGAGCATTGGTTGACCCGAAAAGTTGTGAGTTTAGCTACAGCAGAGTTGAACAATGACTTGGATAGTTGAATTACTAAAGGGAATTAACTGATACTGAGATATCTGGAAGAGGTATGGCATGTGGAACTAGAACAGTCTACCATGGTGGACAAAATAAAGGGTTCAGTTTGAAATTCCAATCACCTGAAGAAGGCGTGAATATGGCAACAAAGATGAGGATAACAGTCTGAACAATGTTAATAGTGTAAATGAATTATATTAATTGATGATATTATAGAAGTTGAAAGGGTGTAGGGTTTGTGTGTATTTTAATTGTGCAAATGTTGACATATGATAAACAAAGAAGCATGCAAAAACTACTACTACAGACATTTATTCGTTTGATGGTGACTGCAGTGAAATAAAGTTCCCAATGTCTATTCAGTATGTCCATTTTCTTTTTGGTTCAGAAGTTAGGAAAACAAGTGCAAGTCAGCTTTACGCTGAGTTGGAACGACCAGTTCACTTCATGAGTGAAGCTGCCAAAACATGTCCAAACACTGTCATTTGGAAAGTGGAAAAAAGAAAGATTCTGTCCTATCCAGAAATGGAGTCATAAAATTGTGCCATTGACCAAAAACCCATTCTGGTTCCTTTATTATTTGCATCAATTTTTCTTCTTTTTTTCATTATTATTATTATTATTATTATTATTATTATTTTTTTTGTTGTAGCATATCTATAGACAATGATAGATATGTCCCCATTCACATAAATACAGTAGTAAATACTGTATGTTGGTCTGCAGTTGGAGATTCATTGTGTAATTCACTTGACTCACTTCTAGCAGTTGATTATTTCTTCTATGCACTGCTTGCAAATCTTATATATATTGTTCTTGTCCTAAGTATTATCATTCATTACCAACCTTCATTTGATTATTCTATTCAGTAACCTTCCCTAGGTTACGGCAATTTTATTTATTAGTTTTATTTCATTTTCCCACAATATTGTAGACCACATTTGGGTAATGGCTACCCAAAATAATGGGAAAAAAATATCTGCTTCTCTTGCTTCTATGTAGTATTTGTATTGATTTTATTTACTGTTATAAACCATTGGGGGATTACCTCACATTGTAAAGAGACTTTTCTTAGTTCCCACTAGGTGGCATGGTAATAAACAGTATAAAAGGAAAAGACCTTCAACCATCATTCTCTTTTTGCTCTGTTTTGTGATGTGGTAGTGACAAGACATGTCTTGTTTTCCTCTCTTGGGAGACAATCTCTAGATAAATTGACTTACTTGTTAGTTTCAACTCTACATAACACATCACACACACAAATATATTTATATATTTCTCTCTTATTTCTGAGCTATGTCGTTTTGTATGTAAATATAAAAAATATATCTGCTGAATTCACTTATTTTGAAAATGCTGAGACATTCAACCAAATGAGAAAGCACGGTGGAGTTATGGATAGTAGCTTGGATTGAGGAATCAGAGAGCCGAGTTTGAATTCCAGTCAAATATATTACATTTACTTATGTGCTAATACCCTTGGGAAAAGTATGAATCCTCCTCTTCTCCCCCCAGCTATGGGTAAATAGCAGGACAGACCGTGTTCTATAGCCTTGGATGGCAACTGGTCTACTGCAGAAAAGAATGGCAACCTGCTTCGGAAAAAAATCTGCCTCGTCAGTTATGTATCAAAAGAAACATGATTGCCTAAACATGTATCATGCATGGCACATAACTGACTGATTGGTTAGCAAAAAGGTAACTATTGTGTTGTGTTGTATCATGACACATGATCAGTAGTCAAATCTCTTAGGTTACTATCCACTTTATACCTTTTCCACTTAACATATGCAAATAGGTACAATCCTATTTACCAATCTACTACAGTAACACAATTCCTTCACACCCTCATTGATATAATGGGGTACTACTTAATTTGACTGGTCTGTTTGTAAAAAAACGGGGAACAATTTTTGTAGATTATCATTCATTAGATCTTTTTCTACCTGCAACATTTGTCGGAAATGAAAAAATATTATTTGTTTTATCATTTTAGAAAGGGGAAGGTCCTGTTCATATTTTTAAAACAGTCTCAAATTGATCCTTGACATCATGAAGAGTTATCTGAACTTTATTTTTATTTACAAATTTAAAGTTTGAAACTGCTTTTATCATTGATAACTGTGTACATTTATGATTTTGAAAGTATGCTTTATTTACTTTCAATTCCTTCTTTTATATCTGCTGTTATCCACTATTTAACTTCATTCTTTAAAGAAAAGAAAAATAGAACAAAATTATCCAATTTTCTTAGCTGAAACAATTCCTTTTCTTAATTTTGACTAGTTTATCTTTCATCTTATTAGTGTTGTTTTTTTTATCACAATGTACTTTTCATTTTACCTTCTACGTTTGTTAATCAAGCAAGTAGCATAAAGTCTTTATTTTTGTTCATTTTACTTCTTTTTAATGGTTATTAGAAAGCCACTCTGCACATTTAGATAAAAATTACAAGATGGAAGATAAACTAATCATGAGTTAATAATGAAAATACTTGATCTAAAAAATCCAACCAATCTTAATGCTTCATTTACTTTCAATTTTTCTTATACATTTCTGAATTCACATTTCATATTTATTCTCTAAAAAAATGTCAAGCAAGCTGTCCAATTTTGTTTAAGATGAAACAATTTCTTTTCTTAATTTTGACTAGTTTATCTTTCATCTTATTAATGTTGCTTTTTTTATCACAATGTACTTTTCATTTTACCTTCTACGTTTGTTAATCAAGCAAGTAGCATAAAGTCTTTATTTTTGTTCATTCTACTTCTTTTTAGTGGTTATTAGAAAGCCACTCTGCACATTTAGATAAAAATTACAAGATGGAAGATAAACTAATCATGAGTTAATAATGAAAATACTTGATCTAAAAAATCCAACCAATCTTAATGCTTCATTTACTTTCAATTTTTCTTATACATTTCTGAATTCAGTCAAAGCTGTCCAATTTTGTTTAAGATGAAACAATTTCTTTTCCTAATTTTGACTAGTTTATCTTTCATCTTATTAGTGTTGCTTTTTTTATCAAAAATTTTCATTTTACCTTCTACGTTTGTTAATCAAGCCACAAGATGTCTTTATTTTTGTTCATTCTGCTTCTTTTTAATGGTTATAAAAGCCAATTTAGATAAAAATTACAAAATGGAAGATAAACTAATCATGAAATAATGAAAATACTTGATCTAAAAAAATCCAACCAATCTTAATGCTTCATTTACTTTCAATTTTCTTATACATTTCTGAATTCACATTTCATATTTATTCTCTAAAAAAATGTCAAGCAAGCTGTCCAATTTTGTTTAAGATGAAACAATTTCTTTTCTTAATTTTGACTAGTTTATCTTTCATCTTATTAATGTTGCTTTTTTCATCATAATGCTCATTTCATTTTAGCTTCTATGTCTGTTAATCAAACAAGCAATATGGAATCTATTTTTGAATAATCTGCTTCTTTAATAGTTTTTAAAAAGTCAATCTAAGCATGTGAATAAAAAAGTAGTTAGAAAATAAGGACAAACTAGTCATAAATTAATAATGAAAATACTTCATATAAAAATTTACACAAATTAATGTTTCATTTAAAAATCTGAAAAATCATTTATTGTCAATTTTTCTAATCAATACAGATATTATTTTTTGTACTCCTTTTTTCTTACTCAGAATTGCATGAGTCTGCAAGTTTGTACAGTCATACCAGCAGCAGGGATAGCCTCATGTTCACAGGAATAAAAAACATACACAATAATAACACTAAAACCATGTTAAATTGTAAATTAAAATCATACAATTTATTTATCTTTATGTACTGATGTGTGCGTGTATTTTAGTTCCAAGTGTTTTAAGGTTGCATGTGATAAAAAGAAGTCAAAAGACAATATCAGTAGAATGTAATCTTTAGGGTGAAAATTAAAATTCTCTATTTAAATTTTTTATTTTCTTGTAGTAAAGTATAACATTTGCTTCATTGGTACTACTTAAATTGACTGGTCCACCAGTAAAAAATAGGGAAGAATTTTTATTTTTAATTTTTGTAGATTAGCATTCATTAGAGATTTCCCAAACCACAAAATTTGAATAATATTGATTTTTTTTATCATTTTAGACAGGGGTTCCAGTTCATAAGATAAATACAGAGTCCAATTGATCCCTGACTGTCATATGTACTTTGAATTTATTCTAAAATGTCAAGTTTGAAACTATGAACTGTGTACTATTATGAATTGGAAAAGGAGTACATATGTTACATAGTGTTACTTACTCACAGCAAGTAGTATAAACTCAACTGACTCATGGGTAACAACTGTAGCTATGAATAGTCTTTGCAACTTCATATGTAAATGAGTCACTTCAACATAATTATCAATGACATAAGCATAGTTTCAAACTTGACATTTGTAAATAAAAACCAAACTATTAGCAGAAATCAAATCCCAGTTAAGTAGTACTGCGATTGAAATTTTATTATAATACTTTTTTTACTAGTATTGCTTTATTATTTTTGTTAAATGAAGCACTATCAGTACATTTATTATTAATTTTTAATATCACTTACTTACACTTTAATTATTTAATTGCTTTTGTGTTGCAACTTTACTCAAGCATAGCAATCAATCAACAGAACAAATCAGAAATAATATATATGAGAGAGATCAATAAAATGACATACATGAGATCAATAAAATGATATACATAAGAACTAGGTTGGATCAAATGTTTGTAGTATTTTTAAATGAATTTCAAAGACAATATTTTGATAAATGTCTTGAGATTTGTGACATAATTCAAAATTTTGGGAAATTCTAAAATTAACAAGTTATTCCCTGCTTCAGATAACAACAAAAAGTTGATCATTTTTTAAATCAGCTGCCAATTCGATCTTATTGAACCAATCAGATTTACATGTGGATTATTTCTCTCATCTTTGTTGCTGTTATGACATTTCATAATGTAATCAATACCGACCTGACATCTCAACTTCAGTTACTTTCTCACCAACATGACATGGCTTCCCTCTGTCTGTTCTACAAATATTTTCATAGTGATTGTTCTGATGAGCTTTCTTCAACTACATGAATTTAAGCGTGCTACTAGATTGGCAACTAGGTCTCACCATTTTACTGTTGAACTAGCTAGATCAACCATATGTTGTATTCTAATCATTTCTTTTTTCACACTTACACCCTGCAGAACTCCCTTTCAATTTCTTGCTTCCCTGCTACCTACAACATTCAAAATTTTACATGCAATGCCAATTGCTATCTTCCGTCTTTCTGAAATATGTCCTTTCTCTTTACTAAAGTCTATTTATTCTCTTTTACTCTCAGTAACCCCTTGCATCATAGTAGATTTATTGCTTTGCCTGGGGTGAAATGATTAAAAAAACAAAAAGATTTATTCAACTACATATATGACATTTTATTCTACTATCTTTCATCATCTTTGAGGTAGCTTTATGATTCCTCCCAGAACTTGGAATCTTTCTGCGTGATGAACTGGTCTAAGTATTTTTTACAGGCTACAAGAGAATTGAAGTTCTTTCTCATTAAGAGAATTTTAATGAGATCAAAATAACTGATAATCCAAAGGGGCAAGGTCAACAAATAAGTAATAAGTAGTTGAACATCACATCCATGCTCTACCATTTTCTGCAAAGTCTTCAAAGATATATGAGGCCTAGCATTGTTCCAATGGAAGACCATTCCAATTGGCCAATTCTGGATACTATTCATCAATTACTGACTTTAATTGGTTCATTTGAGTATAGTACATGTCTGAATTCAATATCTGATTTTGTGGGAGGAATTTGTAATAGGCAATATTCTACCAGTTCCACCATATACCAGCATTTTCATTTTTCTAGGACCTATTCCACTTCATAGTATTGTAAACAATCCATTTTTCATCACCTGTGATATTTCTTTTCAAAAATAGGTCATTTTTTTTATTGGTTTGTTTTGTTTTGTTTTACAGCATATCAACCTCAATGGGTCATTTAATGCCGACAATTTTTTTTTTCCTGGTAATATTTTTGTTTTGCCAAAAATCTATTTCTGTTAATATTTTTTCCTCAAAGATGTATAACTGGTAATATTATTTTTTCAAAAACGTATAGCTGGTAATATTATTTTTCAAAAACGTATAGCTGGTAATATTATTTTTCAAAAACGTATAGCTGGTAATATTATTTTTCTAAAATGTATTATCAGAGGCCTTGCTGTTGGACGTAGTTTATCATCTTGCCCAGGATGTGGATGTAGTTTATCATCATACCCAGGACATGGATGTAGTTTATCATCATACCCAGGATGCAGATGTAGTTTATCGTCATACCTAGGATGACATTTTGTTGAGAATTGCAGGTGGAAAAGTGATCCATTAAATTTTTTCTGTTAAATCTTGATGCAGCCAAACTTCATAGCAATTCATATATCCAAATGTTTTCAAATCTCTTAAAATTCTCATAAAAGATATGTGGACGTCCCATGTCATGTGACCCGGATTATTTTTCATTTGGATCATCATCAACAATAGCAGGCCTAACAGAACATTCTCAGTCTTCCAGATCAAAATTTCCTCATCTGTACCTAGCAAACCACTCATGAACTGTACTCTCAGGTATTGCACCATCTCTATAAATGGCACATACATTTTTGCTGTTGTACAGCTTTTTTTTTGTTTCGTTTCAAATGATAAAAATGAATCTCATTTGCTTCCGTTTTCACTTTTAATGTAAACACATTTAATATTTGTCTGTATTTCTGAGATGAGATATTGTAATTATTTATACTATTTACATCATTCAGACTCTTTTCCTACTCTTTCTTACTACGTATAAAGGCCTGTTTCTCCTTTATATCTCTTATCATAGCTGCACAGGATGGTGTACTCACAGTCCTTAATCATGTTTGCTTCTATATGTGGTCTTACTCAGAAGAGATGTCTGCATAGTGTTGAACCACTCACTGATGTTGTCAAATACACATGGCCTTGTGGATAAAAGTGTTGCATGAGTAATCCAAAGAGTTGTTAGTTCAATACCTAGCTAGAGGAAATTAACTGATACTGAGATATCAAAAAAATAGGCATGGCATGTGGAACTAGAACAATCTACCCACATGGACTAAATAAAGGGTTCAGTTGAAAATTCCAATATATATCTCCTGAAAAAGGTTGGAACACACAATGGCCAAAATGTTGTTAATATGGTATTAAAGATGAGAACAAGAGTTTGAATGATGTAAATAAAAGTATTTAACTTTCACAATCCACACATGCATTGTATAGAAAGATAAACTGAAATATAACCTTTCAGAATATATATGTTCCAAATTTCAGTCATGTGCCACCTATTGTAAAACACTACAAAATTTTGTTCCAATTGTATAAGTAATGGCAGTACAGCAAAAATACCTTTTTTGTGGCTTCATCCTCTTGTTCTTTAAAATATTTGATGGCATGCTCTTTGTCACGGTTCTCTCTCTGGATTTGCCTGGCCTTTAACCGCTGATCTTGACGCTGCCATTCAAACTGGCGCTTGGTTCCGATTGCATGTTGAATTTCTGCATTGATTTGTTTCTTGGCATCACATGTGGCTTGGATTTGGCGTTGTTCTTCCTGAAATAAATGGTTTGCTTCCATTATACGCTTCAAAACCTTCTCACGTTGTGATTTCTCTTTGACCTTTTGGAGCTGTTCTGCCTTTTCCGTTTTCTGTTTCCATGCCAATTCTCGAGCGAGAACAGCTTGTCTCCTGTTAGTACATAAAAAATTTGAATATATATTAATAGATATGTAGAAATGAATAGGATAATTATCTTCTTTTTGACAGGAACAATTTATTAATGCTTTAAGGGACTCTTGAGGGTTACACAACAGCTCATTGTGGAGAATAGTTAATTCCTGCTTATCTCATAATGGTGGTGGACACAATAGCCAGTTGTTTGGCTAACCACAGAGGATAACACAAATGCATCATAAATAAGACTCTAAGAAAGATCACAAGAGGGTTCTATCCACTAAAGAAGATCTATTAACAACCATTCAGGAAAATTGGAACTATTGCATTAAATTAGAGAAATCCATGCCTGAAAAAATTAAGGTCATCATAAAAGCTCAAGGATAAGCAACTAACTATTATTTCATATTTTTTCATTATTTGATTTTCCTCAATATTGAGTTGTTCTATAATATTTTCATCTGCATGGCTTAGAGAAAAATTATACCATTAACTAAAAATTAATCTAGTTTAAGCTATATTTTATGAAACCATAATGATCAGCTATTAAATAAAAAATGTTTTGAGTTTTATCTGGGATTAGTTTATTTACTGCCAAATAAAAACCATTTATGTGAAAATTCTCTAATTGTACAAATTCCATAATTTTTGCCAGTCTCTGTAGCTGGTAAGGAGTGCAGACAGACACATAGGCTAAATCAATTCATCAATCAACAGAGGCCCAATTTTATCAAATTTAAATTAAAAATTGTACTAAAAAGAAAACTTACATTAACTGTTGTTATTTACTAAGCGCTGCTTAATTTGGAACAGAAGATACAACTGTAGGGCACTCAGATTGAACTCACCATTAATAACCTACAACCCCAGATTGCTGACCATTACACTTACCTTGACTGTTGGCGCGAAATGGCTTTCTCTTCATCTGTAATATGTTGTGGTATCTGGGTTTCACGGCGCAGTTGCCTGTTTGTGGGTGGTGGGGTGTCTGGAGGTTTGGGAGTTTTCAAAAGTTCCTTTACAGAATCTTGATGTCTGTGCTTGGCAAATCTGTCCACATAGTCAAATGTAGAAGATGACCACTCAGCTGTCAGAAAGGAAACAAATGAAAAAGAATGATTAAATTAATCTTGACAATTCAAAGGAAGAAATAAACTTTCTTTGAATTTTCAGATTGGCAGTGTGGGTGATTCAATGGTTAATAGCAGGAGGTTCATGTTGTCAGATGGACAATGGCTGGAGGTTCAAGAGGACTAATTGTCAATGGCAGGAGATGTGAGTGGACTGATGGTCAATGGCTAGAGGTGCAAGTGAACTGATGGCCAATGGCAGGAAGTTTTAGTAGACTGATAGTCAATTGCAGGAGGTGCAAGCAGACAGATGGTCAATGGCTGGAGGTGTGAATGAACTGCTGGTTAGTGGCAAGAGGTGCAAGTGGAGTAGTGGTCAAGGGCAGAAGGTGTGACTGGACTGATGGTCAATGACAGGAGGTGCAAGTGGACTGATAATCAATATCTGGATGCACAAGTGGACTGATGAGGTGCAAGTGAATTGATAATCTATAGCAGGAAGCACAGGTGGACTGGTGGTCAAGGGCAGATGGTGTGACTGGACATGGACAATTGTATGCGGTGCAAGTAGACTGATGATCAATTGCTGGAGATCTGAGTGGACAGAGGGACAATGTGATGGAGTGCAAGTGGACAGATAGCCAATGACAGGAGTTCTGACTGCATTGATGGCCCATGGCAGGATAGGCAAGTGGACTGATGATCAGTGGCTGGATGTGTAAATGGACTGATAGTCAATGTCTTGAGGTTCAAGTGGACTGATGGTCAGTGGCTGGGGGTCCAAGAACTGATGGCCAATGGCAGAAGGTGTGAGTGGACTGATGATCACAGGTAGTAGGTGTGATTGGACATTTTGGAGTCCAATTGGACTGATGATCAATGGCTAGATGTTCTCAGTGATATGAAGTGCAAGCGTACTTGTAATCTATGACAGGAAGTACAAGTATTCTAATGATCAATGGCAGGACTTTCAATTGGACTGATGGTCAATGGCAGGAGTTTCAATTGAACTGATGGTCAATGGCAAGAAGTGCAAATAGACTGATGGTCAGTGGCAAGAGGTTTGAGTAGTATGATGGTCAAATAAAGGAGGTGCACATGGCCTAATGTTTAATAGAAGATGTTAGTGACCTTATGATTAATGGTAGGATGTTTACCTGACCAAATGGTTAATGGCAAATATGAGTAACTTAATGGATAATGGTTGGAAGTGTGAGTGACTTAATGTTTAATGGCAGGTCCTCTTAATATATAGCAACATAGTAAATGGAATCAGAGAACTGAGTTCAAACTTCAGCTGAGACAGTTTGCATCCATATTTGTATTAATACCTTTGGGAACGTCATGAAGCTATGTATAAATATTAACCCTCTAAAATAGTTCATCTTATGTTTTGGGGCTAGCACTTTGTCCTTGTATAAATTGACTTGTTACCACAACAGCAGCATCACTTGATCAGGTTGAAGTTTTACCCTCAACCAGTGTGAATAAACAGTAACATAAGTTTAAATTCAATTTAATATTTAGTTGTCATGTAAAAATACCTTTATGGTAAATATCTTCTTTTCTGAAAGATTTTTTGTAGTGTAAAAGGAATTTTGCAAAGAGGATTTTTACTTTTTATTTTATTTTTAGTAAATTTCACCCACTACAAGGCTGAAGAGCCACTCAAGTTAGAAGGTTACAAATGGTTACAAAACCAATATTTTTGTTTCTGGTTTATGGGAAGGATTGTATTTTTACAGGAATCAATTAAAGTCTCACTCAAAATCATGTCTTTGATTCGCAATTGTCATTATTTTTTAATATTTTCCAAAACTTCTATAATTTTGCATCATATTAAATTAAGGGAGATCTATGTAGCATCACCTTTTCCAAATCTATAATTTTAAAATGTCAGTTCCATGGCTTTGGTGAAGTTAATATATATGAAAGGGAAAATTAAATTCATGTTTTTCTAAAAGGAACTCTAATGAAATTGACATTTGCTGCTGCTACCAGAATTTGAACCAGATTTGTTAATTCTGATTTTTCAAGACAATGATGCAGCACAAAATCGAAATGAAATGCTATTAGGGTGAGTCATAAATGATATCTATTTTTGTTTATTATCAACTTAAGCAATTCTTGATAAAAAAAAAAAAACAAACATTTCAATGTCTATTAAATTTAATAATCTTTTTTGTTTTAATGTATGAATATCCTTTTGCAAATGTGGTCATTGTGTAGATAAAAAAAAAGCCAAATTTCATGTGTCAAAGCCTTCAATTAACACAGTTTTCTGTCCTGACTCACACACTCCCAATGATAACTCACATGAGTTAAAAGCTTAGACAACACAATATGAATTTTAACCAGTGTATCTTTTAGAAAAGATTACAGGCGGTACTTTGTAGAAATAAATTTGCCAACAATCAGGATCTATTAGATAGAGTCATAAATAATTTCTGTTTTTGGTTATCAAATTTATTCTTCAAAAAATAAAGTACAATTACATTTAATTGAATTATATAGTAATGTTGCTTTTCTGTGCCTTTTCTAGAAATACTTTCATGACATATGGTAGCATAACACAAAATTTATTCTCAACTGTCATGTATAATCAGTAGCTAGGATGATAAAGTTGTCATTACAATTGGTTCTTCAAAACATAAATTACTTATGACTCAACCTAATATATCTATCTAATTCTATTCATATCTATCTATCTATCTATCTATCTAATTCTATTCATATCTATCTATCTAATTCTATTTATATCTATATCTATCTATCTATCTAATTCTGTTCATATCTATCTATCTAATTCTATTTATATCTATATCTATCTATCTAATTCTGTTCATATCTATCTATCTAATTCTGTTCATATCTATCTATCTATCTAATTTTCTTCATATCTATCTATCTAATTCTGTTCATATCTATCTATCTAATTCTGTTCATATCTATCTATCTAATTTTCTTCATATCTATCTATCTATCTATCTAATTCTGTTCATATCTATCTATCTATCTATCTATCTATCTAATTCTGTTCATATCTATCTATCTATCTATCTATCTATCTAATTCTGTTCATATCTATCTATCTATCTATCTATCTAATTCTGTTCATATCTATCTATCTATCTATCTATCTATCTAATTCTGTTCATATCTATCTATCTATCTATCTATCTAATTCTGTTCATATCTATCTATCTATCTATCTATCTAATTCTGTTCATATCTATCTATCTATCTAATTCTGTTCATATCTATCTATCTAATTCTGTTCATATCTATCTATCTATATATCTATCTAATTCTATTCATATCTATCTAATTCTGTTCATATCTATCTATCTATCTAATTCTGTTCATATCTATCTATCTAATTCTGTTCATATCTATCTATCTATCTATCTAATTCTGTTCATATCTATCTATCTAATTCTGTTCATATCTATCTATCTATCTATCTAATTCTGTTCATATCTATCTATCTAATTCTGTTCATATCTATCTATCTATCTATCTATCTATCTATCTATCTAATTCTGTTCATATCTATCTATCTATCTATCTATCTATCTAATTCTGTTCATATCTATCTATCTATCTAATTCTGTTCATATCTATCTATCTAATTCTGTTCATATCTATCTATCTATCTAATTCTGTTCATATCTATCTATCTATCTAATTCTGTTCATATCTATCTATCTATCTTATTCTGTTCATATCTATCTATCTAATTCTGTTCATATCTATCTATCTATCTATCTATCTATCTAATTCTGTTCATATCTATCTATCTATCTACCTAATTCTGTTCATATCTATCTATCTATCTACCTAATTCTGTTCATATCTGTCTATCTATCTATCTATCTATTTATCTATCTATCTGTTAAGTGTACCATTAAAGTGACTGTCTTTAAAATGACATTTTACTCACCTGGATCTGGGTATTTGGGTTTGTCACGCAATTCTAGAGGCACTTGTAACATGGTCTCTCTAAAAGGACCATATTTACTGGATTGCTCAGTCAAAGATGGAATTGGATCACTGTGCCAGTATTTCCATGGAGGCCGGTACTGTGAAGGCATCTTTGGCTTTGTGTACAAAGAATCAGTGTTCATTCCAGTATCTTTAGTGCTTACTATTGGACCAAGGTCATCCAATCCAAAATCATCATAAAATCCTAAATCTGGAGAATTCTCAAGATCAGAAGTAGCAAGATCGACTTTTTGTGAAGGAAGCAAATCTTCCTCATCTGATTCATCGAAAGTTGCATTTTCTTCCCATCTGATGTTTGTTTGTCGCTTCTCATCATCACCTTTCTCTTTGTCTTTATCTGCATCCTGATCGTTAGCATCAGATGAATGAAGATACTTTTTGCTGTCTGTTTCTCTCTCTTTGCTATTCTTGTCTTTTGTTTTCAATGCTCTTCTCTTTTCTAAGTTATCCATGCCCTCCTTATGTTCAGTGATCAGGGAGTTTACTTTATCATTCAACTCTTTGGCACTGAGGTTCGTTCCTGGGACTATCTGGGACTGGATCTCATCAGACGTTATGACAATATCATTCTCACACCTTTTTGGCACTGCAGCTTCTACAGTAAGTTTTCTTGTAGATGGATAAAGATCGGAGATTGATAAAAAACTGACAGGGTAAGGAAGCAGTCCCCCATTCAGGAGGGTAAAGCTTGGTTGTCGCAAAGAAAGTGGATTGATGCAGTAGTAATCTTTTGGTTTGGGTTGAGGTCCTGAAGAAGGGTAGCCAGGTTTTGTTACTCTGGGGTATCCATCTTGACTCTGAATGTACCGTCGAGCAGATAGGGGCATTTGCAGTTCCATCTTCACTCGATTATAAAACTCTTTGGGTATCCACACCACAATATCAGGATTAATATTAGCAACAATGCCATTGTCAAAAGAGATTGTAAGTTTGGAGTCTTTTGACCCTAGATGAATACAATAGAGAAAAACATTGTTAGCATAATGACTTTTTTTGAAGTAGATAAACATTTGTAAATAAAACAAAACCTCACTTAAACAATTTCTGTTATTCCATTTTTAGCTGTAATTAGATCACCTGGCTTACTTTTAAAAGCAGTTCATGATAAAAAAAATAATGAGGTAACAGTATTATCAATTTTATTATTAATTACATATTTTTTAATTTGAATTTGCAATACAAGTATGCAATGACTCTGAGAACAATGTTCTAAACTCCTGGTAGGGCCAAACTTGGCAGCAAGGTCAAAGACAAGGACCCAGACTATGTGCAACCAACCTCAAAAATCTTAATGGTGGAACAAATAAATGACAATTACAACAGATCTCAATTGTTGAACCTGCAGATAAAGAGGGCTATGCATGATGGACATGCTACAGTAGGCTCCACTCAAAATTATAACAAAATCAGCTGCAGTCATTTGTAATTTCTTAATTAGATTTTGCATGTTTCATTCCATATGTGCCACAGAGGAAGGTAATGAAGACAGGTGTGATGGCCACTTCCTTCAAGTTGAGGTCTACCTTAAATAAATTCACGCTATTAGCACTTTTCTTCCACTCTGATTTTCTTTCAGCTTCAACCAAATCTTGCAAAGACAAACAGTGATAGAGAATGAATGACGAGAGCAGGTTTTGGTGAAACTAGAATCTTCTAGTCCTGAATCTGCATGTTGGCAGCAAATTTAGTCTTCATAAAGGAAGCGATCAGCAATGGATACAAGATAAAGCCGTGGGTGATGACGGCAATACAAGTTATTGTAATAATTAATATTACTCATCTGATATAATAATATTATTTAGATTGAACGCAGTAAGAAATTAATAAGAAAAAGTTTACTTGTTTTAGAATTCAACTGCATATTGATATCACACTAAAGGCCTTTCCATTCAAGTAATAATAACCCCAGAGTGACACTTTATATCAATTTCAGTATTTACGATAATTTTCAAAGGTGAAGGTCATTCAAAAAAACAAAATAAATGGCAATCATTGGCTTAGGGACATTTATATTTATTGGAATAACATAAACATATGGATGCCTTCTTTTTGTGCACTTAGTTTCATTTTTTTTTTCAAAATAATAATTATAATTTTATTATACATATTTGTTTCTACCACACATTTATTTCAAAATGTGCAACAGTGGCAAACCAGCATGCATCTATTTATTTACCATCAAGTCATCTGACACAATTTTCTATCAATACAGATTACAGTATCTGTCTTTATTTCTGAGATGAGGTATTATGTACACTATTTGCATCATTCGGACTATTGTCCTCATCTTTGTTGCCATATTTATTACAACGATAACAATTATTGGAGAGGGGAATTAACAGGAGATAACTGATAACTGACATCCATTAAACATGGCATGTGGAACTAGAACAATCTACCCCAGTGAGCGAAATAAAGGGTTCAGTTCGACATTCCAACCACCTGAAGAAGGCTGGAGCGTACAACGGCCGAAACATTGTAATAAATATGGCAACAAAGATGAGGACAATAGTCCAAATAATGTAAATAGAATACAGATTATGTTTTACAATGAAACACCCATATAGCCTCTTCACCTAACAAGTAGTTGCCAAACAGCTAAGACATGTGTTTATAAAAAAATTATAATGTAGTATCATGAATTGTATAAATATATGCTGTGTTATGTATAATTAAATTTATTTAATAATGTTGTTATAATGTATTATGAATGTTTATTATTTTTCACATACATAATATTTGGAATATAATTTGGAAGTGTTTGTTTATATACACAGATTAATATAAGAATAAATACTGAATTTCCTATTAAAAATGCTGTAAAGACAGAAAAATGGCTCCAGCTAAAGAAACCCTTGTATAATTTTAATGAAAATTAGTACTGCAATCAGTAGAGGTTCAAGGTACTATATGCTTCTAAATTGTTTGCATTATGTATTGTTTAAGCTGTATCTTGGGAACAAACATAATTACACACAAGATTAGTGTTTGAGTATTATATAGATTTATATTTTGATAAGTATATAAGACAATGTGGAAAAGATATGTTTTGTCATGTTTTGCTGATTAAATATCATCAGAAAAATGGTATTTATTTCAAGAAAATACTTCATGTTAGTCACATGAGTGATGAATCATATACAGGCATTCCACTTGAGGTCAGGGGCTGAGCTTGAGTCCCAATAGGCATTCAAGACCAGGAGTCTCCATGCAAGAAGATTTGGTTTGGGTTGGTTTATTTTATAGCATATCAGCCTTAATGGGTTATTTGATGCCAACAAGATTTTTATTGCTGGTAATATATTTTTATAAAAAGTATTTTTCGCAATATTTTTTCCAAAAATGTATTGCTGGTAATAATGTATTGCTGGTAATAATGTATTGCTGGTAATAATTTTTTCTTCAAAGATTTATTGCTGGTAAAAATTTTTACAAAAATGTTTTACTGGTATTAAAACCTATTTTTACACATTTTGACCCCAGTTTGTGGGTTAAATGTTTGCCCATAGCTGGTACCCTAACAGGTGCTACCTGCAAACACCAGCAATTAAGAGGTGATTCCATGCCCCTCAAAACCTCCTGATCAAAGGCCTTGCTGTCAGATCTAGTATATCGTCTTACCCAGGACACGGATGCAATTTATCATCTTACCCAGGATGGCATGAGAGAAGAACCATCCATCATGATAGGTGGAAGTTCAAGTTCAGTAATGGTAGAATGTTACTAGTTTGATTTTGGAATTATTGAATGTCACAAGGATTAGTCTTATGATCAGACTATTTGTGCTCTGCCTAAGATCAGCATAGTATCTGTGCACTTTGTGAAAAATGTTATACACAAATATGTTGTCATTTTTTGTTGTATAACTGACCTTCCCTACAATTTTTTAATTGTTGCCCATAGATGTTTCTGCTGTGATCGATGTCACCAATGGCATCTTGAATCATGTTTCTGAGAAATTTAATGGAAAACTTTACATATCTACATTATTCGAATATTCCTTCTGTTGAAGTGAACAATCATCATGAATGTAACCTTTACAACCTAACATTTTATTGAAGCTTTTGTAATCTTTTGTGAATTGCTTTTTTTCGTACCAATTTGCTGATCCCACTTAATAAAGGCAACACATGTTAGACATTATAAAATGTAAGAGGAAAGAAACTGACAAAAATAAAATGAACAACTTTACTTGGTTCAGAATGTCGGGTCTCCTGACCATGAATGACTTTTCCTGGTCGGAACTTTTCTCCTTCAGGCTCCCAGGGAGCCAATACATAGTCCCCTGTGAGAATCGAGTGCCGGGCTGCTTCATTGTAGTCAATGATGTCAAATACATCAGTTTCTTGGTACGATGTATCCAAGAAATCACCATGTTTACAAGGGCCAAATGCCACCAGGAATTGATTCAAGAGAATCTGCAAGATTTATGAAAAAAATTGAAACATTTTTCAAATAGATGCCTTGCTTGGTATAATTTATAAGTGCAAAAGAAAGTATGGCATACCAAGGTATGTATACATATATATATATATATATATATATATATATATATATATATATATATATATATATACACACACACACACACACACACACATATATATATATATATATATACACACACATATATAGAAAAAAGGAAAGTTTTTAGACAATATATACACACAGACACACACACATATATATATATATATATATACAGGTATGATAAGAACAGAGTACACTTCCAACATTTGTAATATTTAATTTAAAAGATGGTTCAATACATAGTAATATTATTTATTTTAGAATATTGCAACAAAAACATAAGAATCACTACAGAATTGCAGTTATCTTTCAATGCATGTTTTTGTTGTAATATATATATATATATATATATATATATATATATATATATATATATATATATATATAAAGTGGATATCAAAGTCAACACCCAGAGGCAACAGTCTGTTTCATTCTTGAAAGAAATTGTCAGGCCTGACGATTATGTTCAAGCATGCATATATTTACATATATTTACATTTACATATGCTCTATCCCCGATATTGAGCACATTAACCCATAAATATACTATAGCTTAAAACTATATTTTATTACATATTCAAGTATATCTATTTCAAAGCAACAAAAATCTTTCATAGTGCATTGTTTTCATTCTTGACTTCAGCTGGATTCAAAATTAATTGTGTTCACTTCCTGCCTCAAAATTTTGTTGATATTGTTCATAATAAAGAAGAAAGAAAGAAAAAAAAAACAAAGAAAAAATTAAGTAAAAAAAACCGTAAATAAAATTAACCTGGCCAGTCTGGTTGTGTAGATCTGCCCCCTTTCAAACTGGAGACATACTTAATAGGCAATGTATTTCAGGCTTTAATTTTATAAATAATCTTTTAAAAATCTCTAATGATTTGTATTCTCAGTTTATCAAAGAACACATTTTTATTTCAACTATTGTTTTCAAATGTCCATTTTAAATAATTTATTCTATACAGTATCAGGGTTTTAGCAGAAGGTATCAATTAAGAAAATGACAAATTTAGCTTGACTTAGTTGATGAAAATCAAAGAAAGTGGCAGCCTTAACTCATTGACTTGAGGGTTGTGGTAAGGTGTGTCTGGGGTAGTGTTGAGGGATTATGATATCAATCAGCAGTAAATAAATTAAAGTAAAAACTTCACAGAGAGATAGATAAACACACTAATTAGGCTTATGCACACTGACCCACATACAATGTTCCCGACTTTAAAAAAAGGAAGGCACCTCTATCCACACTGTTGGCCTCAGTAAATGAAACATACATTTATACTTTTTGATCCTACAACAACTATTCCTATCTTTACCATCAGTGACTTTTTTTAAAACCAGAATCCCCCCAAGCAAGATGGTAATGCCACTAAAACACCAAGGATTACAGGGTGTGGTAGAATTAGGAACAGAAACATTAATGATAAGCAGAAAGAGAAGAGAATCATCAGGTGGGTGGTAGATAGTGATTGCCATTGCATTTAAATTTTTGCAGATTAAAGTTGGCTGGAAAGCATTAAGCCGAGAGCGAGTTCCACAAGCAAGAAGAGCAAGAAAAGAACTGTTAGCATAGAATTTACGGTTACATCTAGCTAGCTCAATTGTAAATTGATGGGATCTTGATGCCAGTTTAGTGATTTACTTAAATTCATGAAGTCTAGATATCATAGAGAAGACCTTATTCGAACAATTACCATGAAAGTATTTATAGAAAAGATACAGAGAGGCAATCTTATGGCGGTGTGAAAGTGACAGGGGCTGAGTTGCCAGATTAGGACCAATAATATTGCTGATTGTTCTTTGGATCTTATCAAGGAGCTCAAGATAAATAGTAGAAGCACCAGGCCAAATGTGGCAGCAATATTCTAAGTGTGGATGAATGGTAGACTTATAGATATATAAGACAGATTCTGGAGAGAAAAATTGTCTCACACGACAGAGTGAATCAACTTTCTTAAAAGCTGAACTGGCAATAGATTGAATATAGATTTTCCACTTCATATCAGCAGAGAACGTGAGCTCAAGAAGACGCAACGAGTCACTTTCCCAGAGGTTAGCATCAGCCATATTGATAGAAGGCAGAGAGAGATCTCTCAGATGATTAATGAGAGAGAAGTATAGTTTTGGAGGCATTAAAATTAACAAGCCATCTTTTGCCCCAGTTAACAATGGACTTGTGATTGTTTTGGACATAGGCTGCCATTTTGACATACCCGCTCGTCCCGGTGGCTAGGATCAAAGTGTAGTATTTGCGCTTTGTGAGCTGCCGGGTCGGGTGTCTGTCGAACTCTCTGCTTGCAGAGAGGAACCCGGACGAAGCTCCGCCGAAGGGTAGGGTTTCGTTGGGGGAGGTTGACGGAAATGGCCCGCCTCGGCGGGTTTGGATGGTTATTTATTTTTGGCTGGGCCTACGGGCTCAGAGATACCCACATTAAAAAGGCCTTGTGCCACATTCGATCCCCGTGGGTGGATTGATAAATACCATCTATAAAAAGAATACCCGCTCGGCCCGGTGGCTAGGATCAAAGTGTAGTATCTGCGCTTTGTGAGCTGCCGGGTCGGGTGTCTGTCGAACTCTCTGCTTGCAGAGAGGAACCCGGATTGATAAATACCATTTTGACATTGTCAGACTGATAAGTCGTGCTACTGACGCAGGAGTAAATTGTTACATCGTCAGCAGAGATACCAAGTTGAAAGCTGATGTCATCAGAAAGAGTATGGTTCAAAATTCTACAAACATTATGTAGAAGATAGTAACAACGAGCCTCGTCCCGGACAAGTCAAAGTCCCAGAGTTGAATCCCTGCTCGTCTGTGCGGTTCATCTTTTCTTTTCTTTTTTTATACAAAAGATGTTAATTAGCGATAGTTTTCAAAGAGTCACGCATGCCCTTTGACTAAATTACAAATGGCAGCTCCGACGGGACAGGCGAGACATCGTGGCCTCTTAGCCACGGGTAAGGTAGAATTCCTTTGTCCTATTTCACTACACATTACCTTGTATGAAGAAAGCAACAGTCGAAACGTTGTGAGCATGACAACAAAAGGAACATGCTGGTCCAATATTTACAAGCATGTAATAACTCATCTAAAAACTCCTGACAAAAACTGGCTTTTATGAGCATAGAAGACGTAATGACTAGACCATAGGCTTCCAAAATTTATTGACAGATTTAGTGATGAAGATTTTTGACTTACAACGGACATAAGATGTTTCAATTAATTAATTAATGTTTCAACAAGTGTCAAAACCGGGCTTTATTTTGTATGTTATCACCAACTCAGTGAATGAACATACAAGTTGGAAACTAATTTTTTCCCTTAAAATATATTCATATATGTTTTTCTTTTTTTTTGGGGGGGGAGTATTTTAAGAGAAATTCCTTTCCCAATCTCATGAGCATTATAAACATTCTAATGACAAATGTCGGATGTGAAATTGTTTAAGAGTTTCAAATTCAAGCCGTCTCTATTCTCTGCTGTTTCCAATCAAAACCATTCAGTACTAAGAAATATTTACCTGACTTTGAACTGATCCAAGATAAAAGAATCCATCTTCATGTCTTCGTGCGAGAACTTTCTTCCCAATCAATAGGGAACCAGCACCGGGCGTCAGGATGGCTTCAATTTCATTCTGCTGGTCTTTTAGAAATGACCTGGCTGGATAGAAGCGACTCCATGCTTTTGAACCATACAGATAACGGTTGGGCCAGCAAAATGGATAGTAGGGCCAGATAGGATAGTTATGAAATGGAGGGTGAAAGTAAGGATGACCTAGATAACGATAACTTTTCCAATAATCAGGGTCCACTTGCAAGGTGCTGGTCAGGCTACATGATTTTTGTGGAGTGTATCGGCCACCAGATGGTGTTATCAACATTTTATCTTGGCCATGGTTTGCAGCATAAACAGGGGTCACTCGTTCCACATAACCATGGGTTGACACCTGAATAATCTGTAAAGAACCAAAGGTTTCTACAGCAAGGTCCTCCAAAAAATCAGTAAGTGCCGTTTCTGGAACTGAGTCCGTTATGCATATACAATGCACAGGTCGGCCGTTACTGAGGGAAACTACTTCATCTAAAATATCGGTCCGATGCTGCTCAGGGAGACTGTCTGTCACTAGATAGATGGCATCAACATGTGGGCTGCTGAATGCTGCTTGGAGTGCCCCCAGAGTATTTGTCCCTGTTTGGGCACTTAGCTGTTTAACCCATTCCATAGCAAGTGCAGAGGTTTCCCGAGTACTACAGATCAGTTTGTCAGCCCAGGCTGTTACCTTAGAATTGAATTCAATAATGTTAAAAAATTTCTTGTTCTTGTCAGCTGCCATTTTGCACAGTGTTTCTTGCAAATGTAACTTAATAACCAGTAAGCTGCTGTGCATGCTACCAGATGTATCAATGCAAAATACAACGTTGTCTTCAAGAACATCACCAAAAAGATTGGGTAGATTGAGGTCAACACTGGAAGCCATTTTGGTCTTGAGCTGGTTGAAGAGTTTTAGCTTTAATGATGAAATCAAAGAAAAAAATTAAAGTGTTTAATCTGGAATTAACTTGAAATATAAATTCTGTCTGAAGATCTGAAATAAAATATTGTTATTATTCTGTGACTTCTTTTTTAAATCATTTCACCGCAAGCAAAGCGATAATGCTACAAAGACGTAACGGGTTACTGGGAGTGAAAGAGAATAAGAAGAATTTAGTGAAGAGAAAGATCAATAAAAGTACAAGATTCAGAAAGACAGAAGATGGCGAATAACAGCATTTAATCTTCTTGAAAATTGTAAGTAACAGGGAAGTAAGAAATTGGGAGAAAGCTCGAAAGACAAGTAGTGTGAGAAAAGAGACTATTAAAATAAAACTTACGGTTACATCTAGCTAGTTCATCAGTAAAACAGTGAGACCTAGTTGCTAATCTAGTACCCACGCTTAAATTTAGTTGAGATACCAAGGTGGAAAAGTAATCAGAATAGTTACAATGAGTCCGCCAAATTTTGCTTGCGGTACAAATGTCGCGGAATCCATTAAATATTTACTAAAAATGTAAGCATCTCACAACGAAAGTGTTGAAGCCTTCAATACTTGCGTAAATAACTCAAAAATTAAATTTGAACATCAATAACTCTTTCAACAAACTCAGTTTTGAAATAAGTTATTTAAAATACTAGTTAATTCAAGAATAGGATGAAAAGATTTAACTCAGATCCTTGCAGCAGTGTCAGAGCAAGTGTTTCGTACCCCTAATCTATGACACCCCCCAATATATAATACGGGGGACCCCACTCTACTACATCTCAATTTTAGTAAGGTTAGTATTCATATAAAATACAAATTTTTATTGTAAACTAATTATGTAGAATAATGGATCATATGCCAAAACAAAAGACCCCAGTATTACGTCAAAATTCACAAAAATTTTTCATCATTTAACTAATCAGTCGTGCTTAGTTTAATTTGCAATTTATATAAATTTAGGTAGACAAAAATAAATGTTAATATGACAACAAGGATCACAAATCACTGCCTGTGGCACCCAATTAGACTAACTCAACACCCCGATCGAGGGGTTCGGGGAATATTATGGACTGACCCTACCAAGAGAAATGTTGAGTACAGTTAGCAATGAAGAAAAGAATAAATCAATAAATATAAAACCTATGAATAAGTTAGGTAAGGATTCTGTTCAAAGCTCTGTCATGATTACAGCAATAAACAACCGAAGAAGACCGGAGAATGTTCTAACTGAAACAGTGATCAAAAGAACAAAAATGGGGACATTAGTTCAACTCCTTCTATTTAATTGTCTAAAATTATTAAGAAACAGGAAAATTTTTATTAGAAACAAAGAAAAGAGTACTAAACGGTTATGCAATATAAGTCCTCCTATATGGCAGTGAATGCTGAACAATCTCCTCACAGGTGGAGAAGAGACTTGAAGCAACAGAAATGTGATTCCACAGAAGGATACTGAAAATGCAGTAGACTAAACATGTGAGCAATGATAAAGTTTTAGAAAAAAAGGAAACAAAAACGACACTTATACTTAACATCAGAACGGAGCAGTTGAAATGTCTAGGGCCCATAATGTGGAAAGAGGGCTTGGGAATTTTGATAGCAGGATGGACAGAGTAAAACAACGCATAGCCTACCAAGTGAACTTAAGTGAATGGGTTTAGGAGAGATAACAAAAAGACAAAATTTGTTAAGATCTATAAAGGACAGGGAATAGTGGAGAGCCATGATCGGCGACGTTCTGAAGGGCCACCACACATAGAAGAAGATTGATATTAATTCGTTTTCTATGGATTTTATTTTTCAACCATTTGCAAGTTAAAGACAACAAATATTTTTACAATGGTTTAGGGATAGAAGCTTTAACCTTTCTAAAAAAAAAAAAAAAAAAAAGCAGGGTTAAAATCCTTCTATCCCTAAACTATTATTTAACCCACAGCCGGGGGTGAACAGAAGGATTCATACTTTTCCCAACGGTTTGCGTGTAAGTGAATATAATGAACATAACGGGAATTGTTCTCCGATTTTCAATTATCCATTACACCACCAAGCTTACAGCACTTAGTATTCTTAAAAGGTCACCCATCTAGGTACTGACCAGGCTCGACATTGCTTAACTTCAGTGATCATACAGGAAGCGATGTTTGATTATGATATGGCAGTAAGCTATCGAAGAAGATTTTGAAATTGATTATCTCAATTGAAGAAGTAACAAAACAGTTATCGCCCTTGGACTGTGTCGATATGACTTCAACTGAATTGAAAGTATTTTTTTTGCACCACTTTTCCGTGTAATTTTCACGTTATATATTTTTTTAACTCGTTAGATTTTTGTACTTCCTTTTCTCCTCCATCTCTTCTAAACTATCATTAAGAACATTTACTGAAATGTTTAAACTATCAGAGATGTCTCCATTTCTATGGACTATGGACATTTCAAAAAAAATTATTAGGAAAAGTCGAAAAGAAAAATTAAAGATGTTTCTACAAAAAATCAACTTTAAAAGTTTATAAACTTTGTTGTAAGTAAAAATGTGTTGTGACCAGCAAATTTTGCTGGATTTTATTTAAATATCTAAACTATTAACAGGCGTTTTCAAATTTTCCTATCAACGAGAAAAACTGTCATTTTTAAGTAAGTGTATTTTTTATTGCGCTCACATCGCCACCGAATGTGTCACAAGGTCGAAATTTAAAGTGGGTTTTTAACCGCAAAACGGTGGAAAAATTCTGAGATCCCCTCGGCTCTTGCTTTTGGGGCACGGCTCAGGCAACGCGTAAGTTACACAGACCCCTCTCAAATGAAAGATACTGCCTTGGGAAATGCCCCCCACCCCCGGATTTGAGCTTATTATTTTGAAACTATCCAGCCTAAGTCAAGAACTGTCATTTTAAGATGAGTTTTTGTTAAGTTAAGCTCATGAGTTGTGTAATTGATTTTTTAAACGAAAGAAAAAAAAAATTCCAAAAACTACAGGAATTGTTTGTCAGTAAATGAAATGTCTATACGCTCATTATATAAGACAGCATTGCATTCAAAAAGCTGTTTGTTGTTTATGACTAAAAAATCCTGTTTTGTGGTGCCACTTTCATGACTTTGTAAGAAATGTTAGCACATCTACTGCACCCATTTTAATTAATTCTTGCATTTGAAAAAAATGATAATTCTCAAATAATAGAAAATTATTTTATTAGTCTTGTGTAATTCTAATTATGAACTTTGAATGTGTTAATTAATCAGTTTCAGACAAAATAAAATCGTCTTTTTAATGAAAATTGTTAAGATACAATATCACTGCTGAGTGAACACCAACTTAAGATAAAATTTAATTGACTAGATGAAAATTACACAGGATTTAAAACATATGTCAAATTATTAATTTGAAAAGTTTCAACTTTTAAGCATGTATACTTATTTAGTTATTAAAAATTATATACTCTTCAAGAATTGAGCATTTTTCTGTTAAATATTTGTGCCTTTTTGTGTGTCTACTGCACATGATGTATAAATAAAAGGATAATGTATGAAAGAGTCAGTCAGAGTCCAAGAATGAATAAAAAATTTCAAATAAATACAATCTCTGTTTTGTAACTAAGAAGCTTTCCCACTTATTTTTGCAACCTAGAAAAATCAGCATGTGTGATCCAGTTTAGATGCATAAAATGAGATTTTTTTATTTTGTCAGTAGTCATTAAAAGTTTCCTAAGATTATTGTTTTTTCGTTTATTTATTGCTTGTTTTGTTTTACTATAAATGGTTAAACATGAAATACTTTAAATACAACAAGAAAATTGTATTATGGTATAATAATAGTCATTGCTTTCCACCAGGATGGCTGATGCTGACCTCCAGGCAAGCAACATACTGAGCCTTCTTGGTCTCGAGTTTTTCACCAACATGTAGTAGAATGGACTATATTGAGTCAGTTGCTAAATCAGCTACTATGAAAGTCAGGTCACTATGTTGTGCCTGATAATTTTCTTTGAAAGAATCTAACTTGCACATTTATAAGTCTACCACTCATCTATGCATCAGATCTATCTATCACATCTGCTATATACGCATCAGATCTTTCTACCACATCTGCTATAGATGCATCATTCTACCATATCTGCTATATACTCATCAGATCTTTCTACCACATCTGCTATAGATGCATCAGACCTTTCTACCACATCTGCTATATATGCATCAGATCTTTCTACCACATCTGCTATAGATGCATCATTCTACCACATCTGCTATATACGCATCAGATCTTTCTATCACATCTGCTATAGATGCATCATTCTACCACATCTGCTATATACGCATCAGATCTTTCTACCACATCTGCTATAGATGCATCATTCTACCACATCTGCTATAGATGCATCAGACCTTTCTACCACATCTGCTATATATGCATCAGATCTTTCTACCACATCTGCTATATACGCATCAGATCTTTCTACCACATCTGCTATATATGCATCAGACCTTTCTACCACATCTGCTATATACACAACAGATCTTTCTACCACATCTCCTCAGCTCTTTCTACCACATCTGCTATATATGTATCAGACCTTTCTACCACATCTGCTATATACACAACAGATCTTTCTACCACATCTCCTCAGCTCTTTCTACCACATCTGCTATATATGCATCAGACCTTTCTACCCCATCTGCTATATACACAACAGATCTTTCTACCACATCTCCTCAGCTCTTTCTACCACATCTGCTATATACGCATCAGACCTTTCTACCACATCTGCTATATATCAAGAGATTCTTGACAAAAGCCAAAGAAGAATCTGCAATGATATTGGTTCTGATATGGAATAAATCCCTTTTCCATCACCGTAATATAGTTTTCCTGTGTCTTTTCTAAAAACATTTTCATGGTAATTGTTCTGATGAACCCTTTGGTACTTCGACTTCACAAATTTAAGCACAGTACAAGATTGGTAGTTAGGTTTCATAATTTCAGTGTTGAAATTACTACTTGTAATCATAAGTTCTGCGCTAAAATTTTCCTTTCTCACACTTCTTGATTGTGGAACTCTCTTCTGACTTCATGCTTTTTTGCTAACTATGATCTTCAAAAGTTTAAATGAAATGTCAGTCATCATGTTCTTCTATTGTCCCCTCTGTTTTTTTCCCCCTAACCTCTTACATCTTAGTGGTGCTTATTGCCTTGCTTGGGATGAAATGATTAAAAAAACATTGTGGCACACTTGGAATTACATGTCTGAAAAATAAAAACAGTGTCAGAAGGATGGTTGTTCCATTGGTTTAACTATTATTTTAACTACCTTCACTCCTCCAGAGTGTTTATTGTTTTAAAAAGTGATGATTAAAATTATAATAAAACTTAAACATATGATCAATGTGAATTTATACATTTTTTGTTCTTGAGAATTTATAACGAAAATAATCAATACTATTTATTAGATTGTTTATTTTCAAAAATAATTTTATATTAACAGCATTCTAAAAACTAATACAATTAAAATTATGCACTGCACTATTAATCATTTACCAATTTACAAAGGAATAAATATGAAAAAATTTTTACTCATAAATTTGTAAACATTTAATAACTTATAAAAATATGTGAACTAACTATAATGAAATCCTTATTATTTACCATTTTATAAAGTTTGAATTGATTGGCAATTAGCCAATGTTTTGCCAACTATTCCAATAAACAATCTAATAAATAGTGTTTTACATTTTCATTTTCTCAAGAACAAAGAAAATGTAAAAATTCACTTTCATATGTTTAGGTTTTATTAAAATTCTAAGCATTCTTTTTTAAAACAATAAACATTGCTGAGGAGTGAAGGTAGTTAAAATAAAAGTGTTAATGGAAAAACTGTCCTTTTAACATTCTGTTTATCTTTTTGGCACGAAGGTCCAAGATTGCCAAAATTGTTTACATTTATATGGACTACACCCAAATTCATTTACATAGGTTCAAATATTATGATTCAGCTTCTTAAAAAGATCTTTAATTTTTAGTGATCATGCATGAACTGGTTTCAAATATTTATTGAAAGAAAACTTTTTGCTCTCTTAACAAGGAAAAATATTATTTTATAACTTTTAAAATCTTTTAAAAAATGTTATTGGCAGAGATTAAAGTTTCTTCTAAAAATATCAAAGAAAACATGAATAAATCATTAGATAACTAGATGAGTGAATAAACAATTTTCTTTTGCAATTAATCAATTTAATAAAAAAATAATAATTAATTTATCAATAAAATTTTGATGAGATATATGTAGATATATTCACAATTAATATATCTACACAATTTCCCATTCTGTAAATTTCTTTAATTGAATTACTCACCAAACTGGAAAATATATATAGTATTTTCACAATTGAAATATTGTAAACCTTTTTTTTTTTTAAATGGAAAAGATTATATCAAACTTCACAAAGAAATCGAATAATTGAACCAAAATAAAATAAAAATATTAAAATGTTATTTTCATACTCACGGACAGAACGATTGGCTGAATCACGGTTTCAAAATTTCTACTTCAAATAATTATTTATGGAAACGTAGTTCTAATTAGATTTTTTAAAAATATAATATGGAAATTGTTTTGCTCTCTAGGTCAATTTTTCAAAATGATTAATTTTTGTTATTCGCTTAGCCCATGACAACAAGTACTTGTTTTCACGACAAGGGAGATAATTGCATGCCACTATGTTACCATAGTGATAATAAACAAACTATTTTTTAAAATAATATTTTTGTATTTATAGGTAAAGCTAATGTTAATACACAATAATTTAGAATGTTCTTAATTTGATAATAATCCTGATGAATAAAAATAAAACCAGGAATTAAAAACAGTCTCGTCCGAACGTGACTTTATTCGTGATTTGGGTTCCTTTGAATACACAAGATGGCGGCTGCTCTTCGTTCACTCCGCTGCTTTCAAGTAGCGGTGACGAGAACCCGTCCTTTGATTTCGAAACAGCCTGTAAGGCAAGGGTCAGATGCACCGTAAGTTCTTATATTTACATATATCTATTTTTTTCTACTTACAAGTTTGGCTTATTGGATTTTTTTTCTAATAATATCCCTCGTCCTCATATTGTTTATTTGACCTCCAGCAGCATGAGATGAGTTAATTAATTTAAATTATTCACAATAACAACACAATTACCTTATTTTATTTTTATCTTTCTTGTTTAGCAACTAAATTCTTTTTAACCATTTTTTTAATGTTTGTTCTAGTATTTATTTTAAAGCCTTTGTTTATCTTTCTTGATTCGTAGGAGGAAAATAGAGGTCGTACACATATAGCAATATCATGATAAAGTCTAAATTTGTAAATAGCGCATATACTGAATGCAATCTATTTATAAATTACGATTTATAAAGCTTTGACGTTTTTCTCCTCCGCATTGAGATTTTTTGTTTTTAAGTTGTTTACACAAATTTTCTTGCCCCACTCCCACCATCTCCTTTTCGACAATTTTTCATGTCGAGTTTTTAATAGTATTAATTGTCGCGCCAAACGATTTCTACATAACATTGAATTACCTCCCATACATTTTCCTTACTTAATTATTAACTGGCCTCATATTCTGGGCTTTTCATTTGATTTTGAAATTCATACATCGAACAAAAATAGTACGATAAACCGAATCGAAGTGAAATTCATGATTTCCTTAGGATTGTTTTTATGTTTTGAACGAATCTGACCTTCGACAAGTTTAGGGAGACTGGTGTACTAAAAAAACTATCGTATGTACCACTTGATTTCATTGCATCTTTCTGGACTTTTTCATTTGGGTTGGCTGTATAAATTTCAAATCCAAAGACGGACTCGGAATATGAGTCTAGTTGAAAAGAAGAAATGGTAGGCAAATCATTTATGTAGTACAGGAGCGTTTGTATGCTAAACTTAGTTAATGTTTATCGCGGCCTTTGAAGTTGACGTGTTGACTTTGTTATGGGTCAGAATGATGACGGATATATGTCGTTTAGAAGAGAGAGAAAAAACAAAGAACGAACAAAATGAGACATTTTAATTCTACTGGGAACTTTTAGAGAGTGTTCAGGATAATTTTTGAAAGTGGATGTAGGTACCTTCAAAAATTCACTGAAAAAAGAGCATACCCTGATGAAAAAGGCCCCAAACTTGGAAAACCAAAGTTTTATCGTCAAAATGTTATTAAAAGAAAAGACCAAAAAGTAGTTTTTATTTTTTATTTATTTTATTAAATTTTTTAATCCTTTCTAACATGTTCAAAATTTTGGTTAAAAATCTTGTTTTTCTTGCATCAGCAAGTGGGCCAAAGATGAGTGTGGGAAATTTAGCATCTTTTGCACTAAAAAAACATTGTCCTGAAAATTCATGCAAAAATCAAGTAATTGTCTGATTTTAATTAAATTTTCAGGACTTATTCACAAATGAATTAAATTATTTTTTTTCTTAGTGTGGGTGTGCATGTTCTTATTTCACAATCAGTAAGAATGAAATTAGCTTATCTACTTCAAATTTCAGTTCATCCATTGCACTAATTTCCAAAGGAAATGCATAAATCAACTTCTCTCTCTGTTATGTCACTTTGCCAACTATCTAGGCAAAAACAGTAGCAAAAGGAGGCATGAAGAAAAAACAAGCCTTCTAATCTGGAATGCAAATTTGCTTTAGCATTGTTCCCAGTTTACCCTTATGCCCATCCTGTGTCTTCTATGTTTCATCTGACGTATTAGAAAATACATAATTATTTTCTTATTATTCAATCAAAGAATCCTATTATTTGGGTATTTAGTTTTCTTCTCAAATATTTGAACATTACAAAGCAGAGCACAAAATCTCTGAAGTTTTGTAACATTCAGCACATCACCTTCAGGAGATACTTCAATCTGCTGCATATCCTTAAGAGGAGAGAGAATTTTCTTCTTTTTATTGTTCTGTCTTTTGTTTTTTATTTTCTCTGATTATGTTCCATGAAGCAACAGCACTAGGGAAAGAGCTATCCAAGTAGAACTTGCTCCTTGTGAGATGAATTTGGTGATTTATCTTGATTTACATGACATGGCAGGTTTTAGCTGGGAAGGTTACAGTTAGGAACTAAGGAATGTAGATTATGTGAACATCTACCATGGAAATAGCTATAGGAGAGAGAGGCTTGCTATGTTTTGTCTGTGTGAAATGGTTAATCATCCACAAAAGCATGTAGATGAATTTGGACCCTATCAAGACTGGGTAACTCTATCCCAGATATGACAAGAGCACACCATTTTCAAACTGATCTGGCTCTTGTAAAGATACAGCATAGAAGGATTCAGGTTCTTACTGGAGTGGTACAGGCAACAGACCATTTTTCTAGCATCTTTAGTGATGTCAGAGTTCCGCTTGAGTTCTGTGGTGAGCTTAGGTCCCAATAGGCATTTAATGCAAGGAGCCTCCTTGAGAGAACACCCATTCATTGCGATGTCGAATGTTCAGCAAGGGTCCCTTGAGACTGCAAGTAAAATTATAACCTGCAAAAAATAAGATGTAATCACTTGGATGAGTTAAAAATGTTCTGACACTGAAGATACTGGAAAAACTATTAGATTGAGTCATTTCCAATTTATGGACCCGGTTGTAATGACAAATGTATCATTCTGTCTTTTAAACAGATGAAAATTTAGTTCAATACAACTGTGTTCAGTGCAAAATGTCAGTGAATTGACCATAATAATTCTTCACAATTAACCCCCCAAAAAGTGAACTTGATGAAAAAAAATTATCATATTGTAAATGTGATGGGATCATCAGAGTATTTTTCATTTATACTTATAAAAATGTAATGGAACACTAAATGCACATTTCTATATCTAGCAGCAGCAACTTGTCCATAACATTTTGGTTGCAAATTGCTGCATGTTCATCAGTAGAAAAAATTTTGTTATCCTCTGACACCCCAAGGCCATATGAACTTGCATCTACTGATTATTACTGTCTTTGATCACTGCGAAATACTTTGATAGGGAGAACTTTCTCTAATGTAAACCTGATTCAAGAGTTCATTGAAAAACTTTTTGACATCAAAACCTGCAGAATTTTACTCAAAATGGTATCAGGGCTGCTTGATAAGTGGTAACAAGTAATTGCAAATAATTGTGAATATGTAATTAATTAAAATGTAATTGTACTGTTCCTTTTTTTTTTTTTTTTTTTTTTTTCAAAATAATTAAATAAAAAACATGGTTAGATTTTGAGAATTTGGGTTGGACAAAGAATTTTTCAGCACTATTCATGTTCATGTTTTTTGGGTTTTTTTTTTAAACTTTGTTTCTTTCTTTGAACTATGAGTGTTATCAATTGTTCACTTATTTTATTACTAATTCATGAGCTGCTTTTATTTTATTTCAGTTTCAGCTACCGACAAGTTGTCAAGAGAACAGGCAAAGTAGGCAATCTCTATGCTGATTTAGTAGGCTTCACATTATGGTATTGGATGCTTTATAAATTATATCATGAATTTGATCATATAGTGGTAAGTGTGTCTTTCACTTGTTTGAATATGTAATCATCATGTTTTTAGTTTAAGCCACTTGATGCATCACATTTAGTCCTGTAATATTTACTCATTTGGAAATTTATTTTATAAAAAAAAGAAAAGAAAAATTTTAATTTTATCAACCTGAAACCAAAACTTTTTTTCTCTCTTTCTTCTTTCTGAATTTCTGGGATGAGGATTTATCATTATTTACACTATTTACATTCAGACTATTGTCCTCATCTTTGCTGTTCTTATGACCAGATTGCCTTCTTTCTGAATTTCTGAGATGAGGAGTTCTCATTATTTACCCTATTGTCCGCATCTTTGTTGTTGTCACATTTCGGCTGTTGTATCTTCTGATCCTCATCAGGTGTATATCAATCAGTAACCTACAGGGAATTCTGAACTGAACCTTTTTATCTACAGGAGTAGACTGTTCTCATTCCATTGCCCATTTCTATGGTTATCTTGTCTAGTGCTTCTCAGTTATTGCTCACCCTGTTTCCACTGAATCCAAGTACAGCCTGCTCGACTCAGGGATTGAACTCACAATTATGCCATCAAATTCAACAACCAATACAATACAATGGTAATTGTTCTGATGAACTTTCCTCTTTGGTACCTTGACTTTACAAACACAGTACTAGATTAGTGGCAAGGTCTCATCATTTTACAGATGAAATGACTGTAAGAATAATGAATATGTAACTGTAAGTTCGATGGAAATGGTTTCTTCTCTCACAATTCTTTGTTCATGGAATTTTATTCTGGCTTTTTGCTTCCCAGTCAGCTTTGATCTTCAAAAATTTTAATGTAATACCATTATCTTCAGCCTTATTTCTTGTTCTTTTATTGTCCTCTATCCTTTAATAGCAGTTTTTCATATATTCTCTAACACACTCAGTAACCCCTTGCATCTTAGTCGCTTTATTGCCTTGGGGGTAAAATAATTTAAAAAAAAAAAAAATATTCTAAGATATTTTTCTCTTATACAGTTCATATGTATGCATGTTTAATTTTTTTTGAGAAGTTTGGTTAGAATTTTGAAGGTGAAAGTTATATTTTTCCTATGCTTTTTGATATGTTATCAATGAATCTGCCTCTCAGCAAGTTTAAGGGAGGTGGGTGTAATAGTAAAAATTTACTGTATTCACCACTTGATTTCATTGCTTCTTTCTGTAGGCTTTTCACAAAGATTTCTACA